GCGCTCGCAGTACCTCGCTATATGTACACGCATGCAGCTCACGATAGCGCTGCACGCACTACGATGTGTGCCCGAGTGTGGAAGGGCGGATGTATACCACAGCAGAAAGCCTTTCAAGGGGGCAAATTCAGCTAGCTATGGTGGGCCAAAAAAAAATAAAAAAAAGGTCAAGTTTCGTTGGCCAGTAAGTAGTCAAGGGGATTGTCTAAACTCAGTTGGCAGGGTGCTGTCCAAGTAGGGCCAGAGCCTGTTGTTTGAGGTTGTCATGCTCAAGCGTCCTCCTGATTGCTTGCTACTGCTGCGGCTGGTTAGTAGTTTTCCTCCACAGCGCTGGAGAAGAAAGCTACTCATCATCAGAGACGGCAGGACTCGAGGCAGCCGCTGCTGGGTGGTGCTGCCACTGCTACTTATCCACCCCACCCCTCCCCTGCTGCCATGGCAGCGGAGACGCGAGCGAACACTGGGCGCACAGTGTGCTGTGGATGGGACGCGTTGGCGCTGAGAGGAAAGGCAGAGAGCCGAGCTGGAATATCAATAGGTGGTTTTAATAGTACGTTATTTTGGGCCTCCCTCTCAGAGGGTTGTGCAAAATAGGCACTCATTTTTGATCGGGTAGCTGAAGGGGTCCAACCAAGGTGGACAGCCAAAGTCATCCTCCTATGGTCTGATGGTTATTATTTTGGCTGTCGCTACGCAAGAAAATCCGAGCATTGCTATGGGCCATTTGTCCAAGGAATGCGAGGGACTCCCTGCCTCCGTCTCCACACAACTGCCACGGTGCGTCAGGGTCCTCTGTCTCCTCCTCCGCCTCCTCTACCAATGCCCCTGCTTCCTCCACTCCTGTCCGCTGATAGAAAAACCACCCATTTCCTCAAATTCCTGACCACCAAGTCCTCCCTACCTCCGCCTCCTACTTCGCTGTCCCTGCCCCGCACAGGGGTCATGTGCGTTGAGATCTGTGCGCCACGGTCGGTAGGCGGGCGCCCCCTGACCACCATTTTTGTTAAAAGCATTTTTTTCCAGGCTTTGCAACAGAGGAATGCGTTTTTCCCCTTTTCCCTTTTATTTTCCCCTTCCCCCGATTTCACGAATGGTGCCCCTAAAAGGGGCCTGAGCAAGGGGCAGGTGTACGCATGAGCTCCCAAAGGGCTGACATCTAAGTTACAAGGGAAAACCTTTACCCGCTTGTAACATCAGGAAATCTTTGAGGGCCCCTTTCCTGTTGAAAAGGCGGTCAAACATATTTTGGTTAAAATTCCACCTTTTTTTGCAACGTCACAGATGGGGAGTCGGTAGGGGGGCCCCTTGGCAGATTCGGGCTTTGGCAGCGCAAGGGGGAGGGCCCGAAAATCTGCAGCCCCCTTTTAAAAAAAAGGGGAACCCACCGCAGGTGGGAGACCGGGAAAGTGGCAGGCAGGCAGAGTGTGGCGATGGAGACAGCGAAATGGGGGCCGTACAGGGCCCCATGGGGGACATCGGGGGCCCTTTGGCAACAGAATGAGGATCGGTAAACAGGGCCCATGGCAGACTTACGGGCCTGGCAGCAGCAATGGGAGGCCCGTATCTGCCACACCCGATGACAAAAAATGGAACCGCACTACAGTTGAGGAGACCTGAAGTGCACATGGCAGAGTGTGTCGAGGGAGACAGCAGCTAATGGGAGCCGTACAGGGAACCTCATAGACACGTGGCACCTGGCAGCAGCATGAGGAGGCGTACAGGGGCCCATGGCAGATTACGGGCCGCAGCAGCATGGAGGCCCGTAAATTGCCAGCACCCTATGACAAAAATGGAACACACCAGCAGTGTGAGGAGACCTGAAAGTGGCACATGGCAGAGTGTGGCGATGGAGACAGCAAGACAATGGGAGGCCGTACAGGGACCCATGAGAGACACTGGACCTGGCAGCAGCGATGAGGAGGCGGTACAGGGGCCCATGGCAGATTAGGGGCCGGCAGCAGCAATGGGAGGCCCGTAATCTGCCAGCACCCTATGACAAAAAAATGGAACACACCAGCAGTGTGAGAGAGACTGAAAGTGGCACATGGCTCGAGTTGTGGTCGATGGAGACAGCAGCAATGGGGAGGTGTTTGAATACAGGGACCCATGAGAGACTCTGGACCTGGCAGCAGCATGAGGGAGGCGGTACAGGGGCCCATGGCAGATTACGGGCCTGGCGAGCACAGCAATGGGAGGCCGTAATCTGCCAGCACCCATATGACAAAAAATTTGGAACACACCAGCAGTGTGAGGAGACCTGAAAGTGGCACATGGCAAGAGTGTTTACCTCGCGTGGATGGGAGGACAGCAGCAATGGGAGGGGTTTTCGGAAGCTGTACAGGGGTCCTGCCCATGGACCACTCTGAGGCTGCCTGGCTGCGCAGCATGAGGAGGCGGCTGGTACAGGGGCCCATCGGCAGATTACGGGCTGGCAGCAGCAATGGGAGGCCCGTTAACTCTGCCAGCGAACCCTATGACAAAAAAAATGGAAAAACACCAGCAGTGTACAGAGGATGACAGAAAGGCCTGGCACATGGCATGGAGATGGAGGCAGAGCCATGGGAGGAGATGTACTGGGACCATGAGAGACTCTTGGACCTTTGGCAGCTCAGCATGAGGAGGAGGTGTTACAGGGGCCCATGGACAGATTAACGGGCCTGGCAGCCAGCAACTTGGGAGGCCCTGCTAATCTGCCAGCACCTGATGGACAAAATGGTCTCTTGAAACACCAAGCAGTACTGTGAGGAGCCTGAAGTGGCCACATGCGCAGAGTGTGTCGATGGACTCAGACAGCAGCAACTGGGAGGCCGTACAGGGGACTCATGAGAGACACTCCTGCGGACCTGGCAGCAGCATGAGGAAGGCGGTACAGGGGCCCATGGCAGATTACGGGGCCTGGCAGCAGCAATGGGAGGCCCAATCTGCCAGCACCCTATGACAAAAATGGAACACACCAGCAGTGTGAGGGAGACCTGAAAGTGGAACATGGCAGAGTGTGGCGATGGAGACAGCAGCATGGGAGGCGTACCAGGGACCATGAGAATGACTCTGGACCTGGCAGCAGCATGAGGAGGCGGTCACAGGGCCCAAGGCAGATTAGGGCCTGGCAGCAGCAATGGGAGGCCCGTAATCTGCCAGCACCCTATGACAAAAAAACTGGAACATCACCAGCAGTGTGTGAGGAGACCTGAAAGTCGGCACATTGCAGAGTGTGGGCGATTGGAGACAGCAGCAATGGGAGGCTCTGTACAGGGGACCTATGAGTAGACTTCGTGGACCTGCAGCAGCATGAGGGAGGCTGGTACAGGGGGCCCATGGCAGATTACAGGGCCTGGCAGCAGCAATGGGAGGCCCGTAATCTGCCCAGCACCTATGACAAAAAATGGAACACACCAGCCAGTGTGAGGAGACCTGAAAGTGGCACATGGCAGAGATGTGGCGAGCTGGAGACAGCAGCAAATGGGAGGCCGTTACAGGGACCATGAGGAGACTTCTGGACCTGGCAGCAGCATGAGGAGGCGGTGTACAGGGGCCCATGGCAGATTACGGCCTGGCAGCAGCAAGGGGAGGACCCGTAATCTGCCAGCACCCTATGACAAAAAAATGGAACACACCAGTCTCAGTGTGAGGAGACCTGAAAAGTGGCACATGGCAGAGTGTGGCGCGATGGAGACAGCAGCGTAATGGGCCCAGGCGTACAGGGACCCATTGAGAGACTCTGGACCTGGCATGCAGCTAAATGCATGAGGAGGCGGGTACCTGTACAGGGGGCCCCATGGCAGATTATGGGCCTGGCAGCAGCAATGGGAGGCCCGTAATCTGCCAGCACCCTATGACAAAAAAATGGAAACACACCAGCAGTGTGCAGGAGACTGAAAGTGGAAAGTGGCACATGGCAGAGTTTGAGAGACTCTGTGGCGATGGAGACAGCAGCAATGGGAGGCCGTACAGGGACCCATGAGACACTCTGGACCTGGGACAGCAGCATGAGGAGGCGGGACGGTACAGGGGCCCATGGCAGATTAGGGCCTGGCAGCAGCAATGGGAGGCCCGTAATCTGCCAGCACCCTATGACAAAATGGAACACACCAGCAGTGTGAGGGAGACCTGAAAGTGGCACATGCAGAGTGTGGCGATGGAGACAGCAGCAATGGGAGGCCGTACAGGGACCCATGAGAGACTCTGGACCTGGCAGCAGCATGGGGAAGAGGCGGTACAGGGGGCCCATGGCAGATTAGGGCCTGCAGCAGCAGCAATGGGAGGCCCGTAATCTGCCAGCACCCTATGACAAAAAATGGAACACACCAGCAGTGTGAGGAGACCTGAAAGTGGCACATGGCAGAGTGTGGCGATGGAGACAGCAGCAATGGGAGGGCCGTACAGGGACCCATGAGACAGACTCTGGACCTGGGCAGCAGCATGAGGAGGCGGGTATAGGGGGCCCATGGCAGATTACGGGCCTTGGCAGCAGCAATGGGAGGCCAGTAATCTGCCAGCACCCTATGACAAAAAATGGAACACACCAGCAGTGAGGAGACCTGAAAGTGGCACATGGCAGAGTGTGGCGATGGAGACAGCAGCAATGGGAGGCCGTACAGGGACCCATGAGAGACTCTGGACCTGGCAGCAGCATGAGGAGGGCGGTACGGGGCCCATGGCAGATTAGGGCCTGGCAGCAGCAATGGGAGGCCCGTAATCTGCCAGCACCCTATGACATGGAAAAAAATGGGAACACACCAAAAGTGGCAACACTGCACACAGCAGTGGAGGCAGAGGAGACCCCCATGAAGCAGCATGGCACAGCACCCTATGACAAAAAAATGGAAACACACCAGCAGTGTGAGGAGGCGACCTGAAAGTGGACATGGCACAGCAGCAAATGGGAGGCCGTACAGGGACCCATGACAGACTCTGGACCTGGCAGCAGCATGAGGAGGCGGTACAGGGGCCCATGGCAGATTACGGGGCCTGGCAGCAGCAATGGGAGGCCCGTAATCTGCCAGCACCCTATGACAAAAAATGGAACACACCAGCAGTGTGAGGAGACCTGAAAGTGGCACAATGGCAGAGTGTGGCGATGGAGACAGCAGCAATGGGAGGCCGTACAGGGACCCATGAGACAATCGCTGGACCTGGCAGCAGCATGAGGAGGCGGTACAGGGCCCATGGCAGATTAGGGGCCTGGCAGCAGCAATGGGAGGCCCGTAATCTGCCAGCACCCTATGACAAAAAATGGAACACACCAGCAGTGTGAGGAGACCTGAAAGTGGCACATGGCAGAGTGTGGCGATGGAGACAGCAGCAATGGGAGGCCGTACAGGGACCCATGAGAGACTCTGGACCTGGCAGCAGCATGAGGAGGCGGTACAGGGGCCCATGGCAGATTACGGGCCTGGCAGCAGCAATGGGAGGCCGTAATCTGCCAGCACCCTATGACAAAAAATGGAACACACCAGCAGTGTGAGGAGACCTGAAAGTGGCACATGGCAGAGTGTGGCGATGGAGACAGCAGCAATGGGAGGCCGTACAGGGACCCATGAGAGATCTTGGACCTGGCAGCAGCATGAGGAGGCGGTACAGGGGCCCATGGCAGATTACGGGCCTGGCAGCAGCAATGGGAGGCCCGTAATCTGCCAGCACCCTATGACAAAAAATGGAACACACCAGCAGTGTGAGGAGACCTGAAAGTGGCACATGGCAGAGTGTGGCGATGGAGACAGCAGCAATGGGAGGCCGTACAGGGACCCATGAGACACTCTGGACCTGGCAGCAGCATGAGGAGGCGGTACAGGGGCCCATGGCAGATTACGGGCCTGGCAGCAGCAATGGGAGGCCCGTAATCTGCCAGCACCCCTATGACAAAAAATGGAACACACCAGCAGTGTGAGGAGACCTGAAAGTGGCACATGGCAGAGTGTGGCGATGGAGACAGCAGCAATGGGAGGCCGTACAGGGACCCATGAGAGACTCTGGACCTGGCAGCAGCATGAGGAGGCGGTACAGGGGCCCATGGCAGATTACGGGGCCTGGCAGCAGCAATGGGAGGCCCGTAATCTGCCAGCACCCTATGACAAAAAATGGAACACACCAGCAGTGTGAGGAGACCTGAAAGTGGCACATGGCAGAGTGTGGCGATGGAGACAGCAGCAATGGGAGGCCGTACAGGGACCCATGAGAGACTCTGGACCTGGCAGCAGCATGAGGAGGCGGTACAGGGGGCCCATGGCAGATTACGGGCCTGGCAGCAGCAATGGGAGGCCCGTAATCTGCCAGCACCCTATGACAAAAATGGAACACACCAGCAGTGTGAGGAGACCTGAAAGTGGCACATGGCAGAGTGTGGCGATGGAGACAGCAGCAATGGGAGGCCGTACAGGGACCCATGAGAGACTCTGGACCTGGCAGCAGCATGAGGAGGCGGTACAGGGGCCCATGGCAGATTACGGGCCTGGCAGCAGCAATGGGAGGCCCGTAATCTGCCAGCACCCTATGACAAAAAATGGAACACACCAGCAGTGTGAGGAGACCTGAAAGTGGCACATGGCAGAGTGTGGCGATGGAGACAGCAGCAATGGGAGGCCGTACAGGGACCCATGAGAGACTCTGGACCTGGCAGCAGCATGAGGAGGCGGTACAGGGGCCCATGGCAGATTACGGGCCTGGCAGCAGCAATGGGAGGCCCGTAATCTGCCAGCACCCTATGACAAAAAATGGAACACACCAGCAGTGTGAGGAGACCTGAAAGTGGCACATGGCAGAGTGTGGCGATGGAGACAGCAGCAATGGGAGGCCGTACAGGGACCCATGAGACACTCTGGACCTGGCAGCAGCATGAGGAGGCGGTACAGGGGGCCCATGGCAGATTACGGGCCTGGCAGCAGCAATGGGAGGCCCGTAATCTGCCAGCACCCTATGACAAAAAATGGAACACACCAGCAGTGTGAGGAGACCTGAAAGTGGCACATGGCAGAGTGTGGCGATGGAGACAGCAGCAATGGGAGGCCGTACAGGGACCCATGAGAGACTCTGGACCTGGCAGCAGCATGAGGAGGCGGGGTACAGGGGCCCATGGCAGATTACGGGCCTGGCAGCAGCAATGGGAGGCCCGTAATCTGCCAGCACCCTATGACAAAAAATGGAACACCACCAGCAGTGTGAGGAGACCTGAAAGTGGCACATGGCAGAGTGTGGCGATGGAGACAGCAGCAATGGGAGGCCGTACAGGGACCCATGAGAGACTCTGGAGGACCTGGCAGCAGCATGAGGAGGCGGTACAGGGGCCCATGGCAGATTACGGGCCTGGCAGCAGCAATGGGAGGCCCGTAATCTGCCAGCACCCTATGACAAAAAATGGAACACACCAGCAGTGTGAGGAGACCTGAAAGTGGCACATGGCAGAGTGTGGCGATGGAGACAGCAGCAATGGGAGGCCGTACAGGGACCCTGAGAGACTCTGGACCTGGCAGCAGCATGAGGAGGCGGTACTAAGGGGCCCATGGCAGATTAGGGGCCTGGCAGCAGCAATGGGAGGCCCGTAATCTGCCAGCACCCTATGACAAAAAATGGAACACACCAGCAGTGTGAGGAGACCTGAAAGTGGCACATGTTTGGGGCATGATTCATGGGGGATTTAGTCAGTTGTGTCAGGAATAGGCCCAAGCTGTTGTTTTGAGGTCCTGCTCCGGTCCACCTGATGCTGCTGCTGCTGCGGACTGGTTAGTAGTTTCCTCACTGCGCTGGTGAATGAAAGCTACTCATCATCGACTGCAGGACTGAGGCAGCCGCTGCTGGTGGAGCTGCCACTGCTCCTACCACCACACCCTCCCCTGCTGCCATGGCAGCGGAACGTGAGTCACAGGGCCACAGTGTCTGAAGATGGAACAGTTGGCGACAGAAAGGCAGCGGACCAACTGACTACATAGGTGGTTTTTATACGTTACCGTATATATTTGGCTCCCTCTAAGCAGGTGTGCAAAAAGGCCACCCATTTATTGAACGGTAGCGGCGGGTCCAACAAGCGCGGACAGCGCACACAGTAATCCCAATGTTCTGGATGGTTATTATTCGGGCTGTCGCTACGCAAGCAATGAGCATGCTCTGGGCCATTTGTTGCCAAGGAATGCGAGGGAACTCCCGCCTCCATTCT